ATAACCACCGCTAATAAAAATTACATTCAAACGTATCAAATATCAAACCCGTGGTGTATCTTTATGCAGAGTTAACTATCAATAAATCCCTGTAACTCCCGAGAATTCGACACAAGTCATAAAAACGGTTTAACGATAGATACAAGTATTTGTGTGTATGCTTCTCGAGAAGTCGCGAATGCGAATGATAATAAACAAAATGTGAGCCAGTCGGCACTTCACATGTAATGGCCAATCACCGACAATGCTGAACTACACAGCTAAACAAGCTATTCATCAATTTCTTTGAACCATTCCCAAGCAAATTGGCATCTAATCGTATAGCTACTCGGAAAATTGTTATTGATTGCAAAATAAGCTCGCGATAATAACATTAATGATAGCATCCGCTGTTTCTGTTGGTATAGGAAATACAAACTGGATAATTATTTGTAATTTCGCTGGAACACTCATGATACGCTGAAACAGGATGAACTTTTATGTTTTAATAAACAATTTATTGCCCGCGGTTCCCCGTGCGCTGTTTGGACGTTGGTTTGACACAAAAATACTGTATCATCACTCTGGAACTCTACTAAAAGTGGGTAAACTCGGTGTACTATCATGGAATACATTTGGTTGATGGATAGTAGAGAGGCGTTGTCAGCTGCTGACAACGCAACTCTTGTAGCGGAATTTTGGGCTGACACTGTGTAGGTTTGTTGTCGACACGATAAGAACAAGTAGAGAGGCGATTTCTGACGAGACTGATCTGTCTTCCGATTTCACAAACAGGTATCTGACTCGATGCGCAATTATTTAAGATATTACAATGTTTACTTCGCCGTGCTATTGTCTGTACACATTGAAATAGATTTGCGAAGGACATCTCCAGCCTAGGGGTAGGGCTCCGAACAAAAACCATCGGAGGCAGTATCGACTAATGGTCGAACGAATCGACCGACAAACGGTATTGTTAAATTCAGCCCACTGTCCTACATAATTAATCTACCCACCGTCAAATCGTTCGCGTTCTGGATACTTGCTCTGATAGTGCTGCAATCGAAGTTTTGCGCGGGATGTCCCATTTTCATTCAGGGAATAACCCTTGACCGGGACAGCAAATAACCTGGTTGTGTCTCGTTGGTTTCAGCCGAAAGGGATATCCACAAAGACCGGTCCTGCGCCGCTCGCATCCAGGCACCTCCCGCGACCTTCGCGACGATCATCGGTCCACCTAGTGGGAGGCCTGCCCACGCTACGTCTTCCGGCTCGTGGTCGCCACTCAAGAACTTTCCTGCCCCAGCGGCCATCAGCTCTACGAGCTATGTGATTCATTAGGAAAAAATTAACATTCTCAAAGTTCCGCATTTGATTCGTCTGCCTCGCGTTTGCGTATAACACGATGCCTTTGCCATTGTCCAGCAGTGGACATCATTTGGCTGAAAGGAACGAACCACTGAATCAAGTATCGTTAATTAAAGTATGATATTTTGAAGTTTTTAAATACCTTACTTAACCAACTCGCCTGAAATTGGTCACTGAACTGACACTAAAAATATTCATTAACGCAATAAGGTAAGGTCACGGACGTAATGAGGCATGTCCTTCGTACTGTCTCTTTAAAAAAATATATTTTAACGGGTCTGCACCCATTTAAAACTCAAAACCATTTTGTTTTCTGTCAATCCCGTACATAGAGCATATTGCTGCTGGCAACACTACTAGCCCATAATTTATAACGCGGCGGATAGATTTTTCTAAAATTAGTGCATGACCCGGAATCGATAACGACCCGCCGAGGCGATAAATTTAGAGCGACATCAGATTTTATTTGAAACTTCATTTGATAATCGCGATGAGCTGTCTAGCTCATGATTCTATAAGGTTCTAAAAGGCGTTATGAAATAATAATAGATGCTGACCTTTAGGCGTGAATGCATGTTTAATTCCATTGCGGTTTTTTAGTTTCTTTTTTAAAGTAAGTCAGCCCACTGTTCTCCGGTTCACATGTTACTTTATTTGAAGTGTCATGTTTTGGACTTTATGCTGTGCTTTATGCGCTCATTGCGTGTTTTAACTTGACAAAACATCAGTGAGTTATTCGTTGACAAAATTTTATCAGTACCAACAGTAATAATGTAGTGACTCGTTAGTACGACGAACACCACCGTGACGGTGCCGACTGCCGTGATTGTTGATATTATAATAATGGGAGGAACTTCGAAAATAAGCGTATAAGTAATGTTGTCAACATGAAAGTCGTGATCCGTGATTTTAACGCATCAATTAGTATAATCACGTTCGGATTATGTAATTATGTCACGCTTGGTTTGGTTATTCATTTGTTAATTTGGGGAAATGGCCATTGCACCCGTTAACTCACCACATAACCACGGCTTTTGATTTGAGTGAAATCTAAAATACAACATTTAACCGGACTGTGGTCTGTTTGTTGATTACGAACACATTCAGACAAATGCAAATCCGCAGTCTCGTTATGTTGCGCTCCCATTATCATAATAATTCTCGTGACTGGACTCAAAACTCGACAAATGCATATTGTTTTTCAAATTGCTCCTACACTTAGGCTTTGTCAGGCATCTGTAGCTTCGTCTGAGACTTGCTGGTTACGTGGAGAACAATCCACATTGAAATAATGGACGTGAAATAATTCATTTAGTTAAATGTACCCTGAAACTTAGCATTACGGTTATTAATGTGGCACTGAAGTTCACTGAACAATAATGAAAGCATTTCATGAAAATAAGGGCTTATCAGCATTTGCTATTTGACCAATTAGCGAAATTGTTAGGTTATTGTAACTGAAAAGGCTCGCGTACACGTGAATAATAAATTAAAATATGTCGTTTCGTGGTTCGCATTCGTATTGTAGGTAGGTACTACATGTTGTATGCGAAGCTATTTAAATTATGTAGGTATGTTTGAACGGATAAAGCTAATTACTGGTCCAATTCATTAAAAATTAAAAAGCTAGACTTTTAGCCGACGAACGTCATTGGCATTTAGCCCGGAATGAGATGAAATATTATGTGCGATATTGTTTCTATGACCAATCGTGGAATGTAAGCAAAGAAATAAATATCCGAATGGAATGTGATTAAAATAATATTGTCAAACAAGGGTTACCAGTTAAACATTCCATCCAATAAAGTACCTAGTTAGTTTTTCTTCCAGGAAAATCTACAGTTTCTGAAGCACAATGACGTCGTTCTAGTATTTACTATTTATTCTTTGGTTTAGTGGCAATCCAAATTAAATCACTCTCGCGGTGATGATAAACCTTATCACAATCTCTGTGAATTGGCATAGAAATGGAACTAACCAAAAGTGTGCCAAAAGTATATCAATAATTGTGACAAATCCGTAACCCTACCCTATGATAAGTTACGTATTTATAAGAAAGGGTGAAGAGAAATGGTAGATTAACCCACATTTTCTTTGAAAGTCGTATTTTATAGCACGGAGCTTCACTAGACGATCTAGCAGGTTGATAGCGATAAAGACCAGCAGTATGTCTAAAAAGAAAACCCCTAAATTAATATAAATGCATCGTGTCATAAAAACACGAATGTGTGTCAAAATGTAAATTTTAATACTTTAATCACGGCACGTATTCGACGGGCCGCGGCATTCGCCACGAGTCCCACGTTACACACAATGATCTATTGTAATAACTTTTCAACATATTGTTCCTAAGTTGTTAAATAGTCTTCATTCATAATTTTAAACAGCTAGTAAGACAGTGCATAATTGGCACAGTTTTATCAAGGCTTCCAGGCAACTGTTGAATGCGGAGCTGTATAAAATTTTGCGCAAAAAGATTTTACTTAGAAAACAATTTTGAACTGCATACTGATTAGCTATCACAGTAACGATAATGTAAGAGACAGGTGTTTATGTATGACTACTCTTTGCGTGCAACTTTGGCTGCGTGTATTATGATTTCAGAAGAAACTGTGTTTTTCATCCATCTTTTTGTAGCTATTATGCAACTTTAATTATTTTAGTAATAAATATAACACAGTACGTACATCTTACGCGTAAAATTAGTTTGTAACCAACAAGGAGTTGCACCTACTTCAACAAAACAACATAATAAATTATAATGAAATAAATGTCAAACTCACTCTTTATTACTGTGCCATAAAAGCAGTCTTAAGGATATTAAAACTAGTTTTCAAGTCCAAATATAAAATCCACTGGTCATAATAAAAAAACCTTCTTCTTTTTCTAATCAAAATACAAAATCACACTTTCATATTAATAAGTTATTTTACTGCAGGAAAATTCAGTATAAAATAAATTAAGTCTCAATAAAATGTTGATACATATTGCTGTGGCACAGTAACATCTTGAGTGATCGCCTCTAATTGACCACTTGACTCGACTTGGCCCATGTTTGATTTGTATGGGTGTGAATTGTATTGAATTACTGAAGCTTATGATTCATTTAAAGAAGCTCATTTCATTTGAAACACTTTCAGACTTAGTAATAAGTTTGAATCGTATTATTTTACATTTATAATAAATATTTTTATGATTGTCTTTACTTAATCCAGTCAGAATCTTATACTAAGACTTTTTTTTCATATAAGACTAAAAACTTTAACATTATTATTTAGATTAGATATTGTAACAATTGTTAATTCCTTTCAAGACTATTAAAAAGATTTCTCTTTGCTTCCAAGTATTTTTTTGATTGTGAACTTATTAATTATCACCCTAAAGGAGTTAATCCTATAAATGTATTTAATGGAGTTCTGTCTCATCTTGAAATTACACCTGTGATACTAGACCCACCTTAGCTGGTTTATAAAATTTATTGTATAAAGTACACTTGAAAAGTGAAGAAAGTAATTATTTTGCTTAGATTTTAATGAGATGAGATGAATGAGATTTTGCCATCTCTTACGTATTTCTTTCTTTTCTTGTATTTTCTGCTCCATGCAATGTAGGGTATAATTTTATTATTATTAGTTAATTAAATTCACACTGACCTTAGGAAGTTTAGCATGGACGCCGGTCCGGACATCCCTGATGGTGGCAATGTCCAGTAGTTCCACCTCCATGTTCTGGTCCGTCCAGTACATGAAGAAGCCCTTGGGGTCCACCCGTAGGGTGACCGGGAGGCCGGTTCCAGAGTCCTAAGACATGAATACATATTTTTGTGATGGGTCTAAGAAATGTGTGCATTAAATATGAAATTCAGAAAATATTAAGCTCTTGTCAGTGTTATAATTTGAAATTTATACTAAGTCTTTAACATTCAACAGTTACAGATTATTTGTTGAAGTATTGACAACATAATCTCACAATGGTGAATGATTATTAAGTAGGTATATTACATATTAAATACCTATACCATAACCGCTCATTATCATTTTGCCACCTATTTATGAAGAAACATACCTCATCCCACTTGATGAATTTTTCACCCTCCTGTAATGCCTTCGGAACTTCTATAGGCTTGAGGCTAACGTTCGAAGATCTCGAACTTGAATTCATCGTGAACAATAAACACTAGCAAACGGAAATAATAACACAATCGCGGATAAAATCCGTCATCTTCTTGCACAAATCTATCAATGAAATCTGTTGCTGATAGGTACACTTAAAAATGTCCACTTCAAGACTGCGGACCAACCAAAATGTGGCGGTAAATAAATAATATCTAACATAATAAATCAGCGTTCATCGTAAATTCACGAAGAATTCACCTCCAATTTTTAACTTCTTCCACACGTATTTCTCGGTGGAGCCACCAAAAACTGAGAATGTCAAAACGTATGATGTGAAATAGTGATGTACATTACAAAAAAGGTACTTAATAATATCGATAACATTCTTAGATGCTAAAAGGGATGGAAGTAAAATATATCAAACTTTTTTTGATACGTTATCACAATTAATAACTGGTACACAAAAGTACTAAATATATTATAAACTAATTACATAGTAAGGAAAACTTGTCTTCTATATTATCACAGATCGAGTAGGTACATAAGTTTAAATTGTAAATTCGGGTCTCTAGCGATGTTTTGCCCTATATTATGTACACCTACTGACCGAAAACATTATTGGACAATGAATAGTGTCATATGCCACATTTACACTGCGCGGAAATTCAAGAAAACAGTGGGGTGGGGATGAAAAATGAATGATTTTCATCGCCACCCCACTGTTATTTCCGGAAATCGAAGCGTCTTCGATGAGTATTTTCATCAAGAAACGCCGGAGTAAAATTTTGAATCGAAAGTTAAAGATTCGGAATAGAATAGTGATGCGACAAATCATTCGATAGTTAAGATAAACTTTGTGGATAGAAATTTTGTTATTTAAATGGAACATACTTTGTTTTTAGGGAGATTGAAAATGGAGAAGAAATTATTTACTTTCGGTCTTTGAGTTGTGTGTGGACGTGAAGTGTTTGTACACTTTTTATAATACTTGTTTTTTTCCTAGACCACAATATTACAAAATATTATGTAACGCAACTATGCAACCACGTACGTATGTATTTACCGAAAAGAAAACTATTCCATAATCTATAAAAATATTTTAAGATGGTTTGATTTTTCCGGCATCACTGGCTGTGGTGACAAAGTTATTTGGTTGGTACACATTTCATTTGTGTTAAAAAGTAGCCTTTATCTTTACCGTCTCCTTTACAGCTAATATTGCTCGAAGCTTGTTGTAGTAATATTTGTTTGAAAAAGAACATGCTCGTGATTATTGAACCCCGAACCCGATTGGACCAAACCAGTGTTGCCAGTCGGGTCTAGTCAGAAATTACCAGAAATATAAAAAAAAGTAACCTTTTTGAACAAAAAGTAACCTTTATTACGGGGGGGGGGGGGTGCTGAGTGATGATTGTGTAAAAGGTTGTTCATGGATGGAAAATGAATACAATTGATCATCTAAATACGCAGTCGTCTAAAAACGTTTCATGGATTTGCGTTTTATTATCGAAAAACATTCGCTAAAACTAATTTTTCTTAACAAATAATAAATAAAATTCAAGTTTAAATGCACTTTATGACATAATTTTTAAATTGTCACTATTAATATTTTTTACTGAATAACCTGCAAAGTTAATTCTACAATTTCTGAAAAATCACCTAAAAGTAACCTTTTCATTAGTGTAACCTAAAAGTAACCACAGCAGTTCAAAAGTAACCAAAAAGGTTACAAAAGTAACCTTCTGGCAACATTGGACCAAACCCCGGATTGCCAATAAAAAAAAATTGTTAATGACAATGTCATTGTCAACCAAATGTCAATCGATCAAAAATAACGAAGTGTGGTTATTTCGTGTTTTTTGCCAAGCTACATAAATTTAAATTCTTTTGTAATTATCTTTATTTAAATTAATTACGATGTCGGAATCTGAAGTTACTGAAGAAGTCACCGAAGCTCCAAAACATGAAAACACCCCCAGAAAACGTATTCGTCATCGCAAGAAGCAGTTGTACGACAACATTCTCAAACAAATGGAATTCTATTTTAGCGATGCGAATCTAATTAAAGATAGGTATCTAAGCGATTTAGTGAAAAATGATCCTTTCGTTCCCCTTGAAACTTTCCTCAAATTTAACAAGATACGTTCTATGTCGACGGATATCACCGATATTGTTAAAGCTATGAAGAATTCTACTTTTCTTGAGATGTCAGAAGATAAGCAAAAGGTAGGTACTTATTCAAATCTATTTGTTGAACTTTCAGTTGCTATTATCATACTTGGGCTATGTATAATGACATAGGTTTTTTTATCCCCATTGTATTTCAGGTTAAGAGAAAGACACCAATATTGCCATATGATGCTGACATTAGAACTGTCTATGTTGAGTCAATTCCAGGGACTGCAAGTCTAGACTGGCTAGAGAAAGTTTTCTCTGACTTTGGCCGTGTAGCATACATTTCCTTGCCTAAATTTAAAAATACACAAAGAATAAAGGTGAGTGAGGAAGATAGAAACATGATGTTTTACTCATAAACTATCAAAAGTGTACCTACTTATGTTATAATTTTATTATTTTTCAGGGATATGCTTTCATAGAATTTGATAAACCTGAAGATGCTCAGAAATGTATCAACACATTCACCCAAATGGGGTGCAGACTGCCGACCTGTATGCCCCCTGAAGACTTGTCTTCCATTAAGATGTTCTCTGTAGAGCAGTCATTGGATGCCGAGGGTAGTAAGAAAGAAAAAGAGGAATCTGAACCACCTAAAAAAAGGAAGAAGAAAGACAAAAAGGCTCAAAAAAATTTAGAACTTAAATTAAGTACTAATGAATCTGATACTGAGAAAAAAGTTGAGACTCCTAGTGTATGTCAAAACAATTTACTTTCTGTGATTTTTGTAAAATTCATACTTACATAATAATTCTATGCATCCTTTTACACACCTATAAATTTTTTGCAGGAGGAAAATAAAAGTGTAGTATCCACTCCAACTGAAGTAAGTTTATAAATACTTAAAAACCAGTAGAATTATAAACAGTAACCATAATTTCCAATTAGAATATTGTTGGATGTCCTGCCTAACTAACAACTTTTTCATTTTTCAGGAAAAAAAAGAAACAGATATAGAATCTAAAGATGAAATGACTAGCCAAGATGAAAGTAAAGGAGATCCAGAAGCTCGTAAAAGGAAGAAACTTAGGAAACGTTCCGGCAGGGAGAGAAGTAGAAACAAAGAGTTTTTGAATAAAGATGAGGCTCCTCGGGGAGCACTCTGGGGTCTGCAAGTCCTTCCCAAATCAGAATGGAAGGCTCTGAGGAACAAATACCTTAATTTGCAGAGAAAATATATGAAGGAAATCAAGACTACCTTGCAAAATAAGCGTTATCCTTATTTGAGTATACCGCCTCCTGCAACAGCTACAGTTGAAGGTGAACCCGGTAAGTATTATACATTTGGTAGTGAGATATGTGAAAACCAACTAACATAGTTGAAATTTTGTACGAATACAATCATGTGTATAGGTTTCTTTTTACTTAGGGTTTCACTACTTAGGCTAGGCTATTTTCAAACTCATCATGCATATGTTGACATCATGTTGCATATAATTTTCCAGCTGCTACCACTACTGAAGTTGAAACCACGAAAACTGTTAAGCCCATGGAAAGAACACCAGGTGTTTTTGTCAAAGAGGAGTTACCAGAGCCATGTCTTGATGTAAGACTGACAAAAAGAACTGTAAGTATCATCAGAGGATATGATATGACTTTAGTTGTGAAAATAGATGACGATATAATATTTATGGTATTGTGTATAATTTCAGATAAGGAGCAACATCCACGCATTACATGTTGATGTCAAGGAGGGACAAACTGAAGTTATCATTAGATTTGATACTGCTGATGCTGCCACACAGGTAAATACAGTTTGAGTCCTTTGGTTTGATATTATGCCAACAGTTTGCTGTACAAAAAAATATTAAGGCCTGAGTCAGAAATGGTAACTTACTAGCTTTTGCCCGCGTGAAATTTAGTTTGTCTGGATGTCAACATGTTTGTTACTCTTTCACGCAAAAACTACTGAATGGATTTTGATGAAACTTTACAGTATTGTTGTTTATGATCCAGAATAACATATGGGCTATAATTTATGATTATACTAGCTTTTTCATCAAAATCCGTTCAGTAGTTTTTGCGTGAAAGAGTAACAAACATCCATACAAACTGTCGCATTTATAATAAGTAGGATTAGTAGTATTACCCCATTTTGGAATAGTTGTAAGAGTATCCCTCTAAGAAGATTTTGTAATGAAAATACCTAGTTCACGCGTGTTTCACGCATAACCTTATCAATTTCCAGTACTGCAGCAACTCAGTGAACCGCGCCCGCGTTCTCACGGGCGCAGACGAGACCGCACAGTGGGTGCGCGCCGAAAGCAGCCGTCAAGTGCGGCGCGCGCGCGGCCGCACCCGTCTGCTCCGACGCCACGCCGCCGCCGCGATGGCGCCAGCGTCGCCGCAGCCGACTCACACGCACATACGGTTTGAGGACGAGTAGACTAGTTTAAGGCGGGTTTTAGAATCGCGCTTGCTGATCGTCGGCGCTGAAAGGACCAATGTGTATGTAATGAGGGTTTTCGCGAATGAAAAATCCACCAGATGGCAATACGTAGACGCATGCAATGTTATTTTTGACATGACATTGACAGATATGTCAAAATCCACCAATCACGCAGCAGTCAGACCCCACATCCACGTCCCGCCACCTAGCGGATCTTTCATTCGCGAAAACCCTCATTGAAGTGAACGTTGAGTGACGCTGATCACTCGGCCAACGCTTCATACATTTCGGCTGTCAGCGCTGACGGTCAGCCTGCGTCAGCGTGACTCTAAAACCAGCCTTAAGTCCGGTCGCCGAGCAAGAAGAATTTCGTCCAATGACCCCAAGCTACCCATCCTTATCGCTCGCGCGTAATTATATTGCTGGATAGCTTGGGGTCATTGGACGAAATTCTACGTGCTCGGCGACCGGACTTTAGTTGTCGAGTTGATTGAGCTATTGAAACTTTGAAATTACTGACTGTACATTGACGATAAATGGGAAAAATATTCCCGATTTTCACCAGTGCAGCAGTGGCGTATAACACACTTTCCCAGTTGTAGCTACGGACTTTCTCACCACTGGTGATAAATTAGAAAAATCGCCAGTAGGGACGTAAGTCAGATATTGTCGGGAATAGACGAAAATGCACGACTGTTTAGAATTTCTGTTATTTAAGGTATTTGATCACATACAGTTCGTTCAAATACAGGTGAATTTTTCAAGTACGTAATTTGCTGGTCAAGAAATAGCTAAACACTGAATTTCTTTCAACATTTTCTGTTATTGCACTTGAAGAACGAACGTTAGTAACAGGTAGAATAGTGCTTTGTTACAACTAAAAAGTTTCGGTAGTTTGATAAACTTGACTACTGCTGCTAGATGGAGTAACTGGATGAAATTAGGATCCAGCAACTTTGTTTGCTGTGCTACAGTGACAAGTAAAGATGGGCCTGGTATACCTATTTACAGTTCCATTTCATCCTCCCTCCAAAGATTCTTGGTGCTTCTCAAGCGCAGAACGATTCAATGCAAATCCACTAAGAACAACATAAAAACTTTGTCACTTGAAAAGCACCTCTTTTGTACGCGAAAGTCCTCGAATATGAGCGCGTGTGTCGGTTTCATCGATCGCATGAACGCGCCTGATTCTGAAACACATTCCCAAAACGATTTACTTAAATGGTCCAAGAGCAAAGTTAAAAAAAACTTGTATGGCATGTAACTTTTGGCGTTTTTAATGTTCAAATTCACTATTCTTATTTTGCAGTAAAATAGATTTTATGCGTGCCGTTTTCGCTAAGTGTACAGTATTTTAGTTTAGTTATAATTTATATTTATTCCATGTTTTGGGAGTTTGTTGCAGATCAAAAGCACCTTACACGTATTCTTATTCACAGTAACATTTTAAATGCATTTCCAGCCTATTTGTAAAACTTTAAAGTGAGCAGTCATTCATTAATTATTCCAAAGTACTTTACATTATACATATTAATTTAAGAAGACAGTGTGTTATGTAATAGACTGAGATGTAATTATCGTTTATTAAAATATTTAGTTACTTTACGAATTTGTTTTAATTTACCTTTGAATGAAACAATGACTTACAAAAGAAATTTTATTACATCAAATAAATGCAACATCAAATTCAGTCTTAAAAATAGTTTTACAATATTTATAATACAACAGGCACTGGCACATTATGCTTATCCAAAAATTACGTATTTAGTCTTATTTACTAAACTTATGAATAAGTAAAAAATTATAGCTGCCTATTGCAGTAAACCTGTATAAAACAACCTCCATTTAATTTAATAGTTGTCACAATTATGTATAGTTTTGTTATAATGTAACAAAAATAGAAATATCGAATACTAAAACATTGTTTTTTTTTATCAAATAATATTGCCATTCCAAAGGAAATATTATTACTTTTTATGATAATTAAATTTTGATATTATATTTTTTGTTGTGATGTCACTTCTGGGAAGACAGAAAGTAGTCAAAATAGTACAGGAAACAATTAGTAGCACAATATTTAACATAAAATAAGATTACCTATTATTATTTCTAACATATATTTTAGTATGATTTATGGAACATTGATACCATGTAGAAGTAGAGGCCCACTTTGGCCCAACACAAAATGCATTTTGTAATAACAGACAATATTAAACACAACAATTGGTCACAAAAAGAAGCACCAGAGTAGTAAGTACAAATAGAACAATACACATAAGTACTAAAATTAAGTTACTGAACTGAACCATTTAGTTAATAATATTAATACACAAGAAATTATCACATTAATACATAGAGTTAACAATTGCTGTTTAAATTAAGAGTCATTTGTTACTTATCAGTAATTATGTACACAGGAGGTAGATTATTTAGTATTATTATGATGCTTCCATATGCCTATGAACAGTTACAGGAGCTATTATACTATTTTTGCCACAGGGCAAAACAGTTACACTTAAATCAGTAGCTTTTAATCTAGGTTTAATCTTTGCTGGTAAGGGACAGCTTACATCAGACTTTGTATCATCTGACAATATGGTGGGGTCATTCACTGAGAATCCTGTGGCCTCAGAGTCTTCATGAGGAGTCATGGTGGAATAACCATGATCCGACCCTCCAGCAGTGTGGGGTCGTCGATACCCTGTCACAACTCTGTATGGTGAGATAGGGGCTTCTATCTCCATGGCTGGCAGTAACTTATCCTGCCCTGACTGATCATGCATGTCATCAGACTGCAAATGACTCATTTGGACATCAGCATCATGCCATGTCTCAGCTGGACCATCAACATACAAGTTGTGGCAGCTAGCTGAAGTTACATTTTGTCTATAACAGTATATAGCAACAGCTATAATTAAACTAACAGTAACGATACACCCTGCTATCGGGCCTATTGCCGAATAACTACCTAATGCATCTCTATTAACATGCCCAAAGGTTCCTTCCCCATAGGGCGTCACAGCGCCCAAAACTCCGTTAAAACACGTTGATTGTGACGTACAAAACGGCGAAGAGAGTGGCGTATGACCATCAGTGTCCAATTGACACCATTCGCAACCTAAAACTCCTAAACAAGACGAATGTGTCAGATAAGACTCGCATTGAAAATCAAAACAAGACTTCAAATTTTCAGCAAAATTATGGAAGTAATGGGACTTGTGATTATTATTTTCAGGCATCATACCACACAATGGAATATCGCGAGTTATCCGAGAAGAGTTTGAATTTGGACATTCATACAGTTCAGAACTGCATTCACATGGACATTCACAATCAGTTTGCTCCATACGATTGCAATTAAAACAAACACGGTCAACCATGCTGCAGGGGCAAAAAGCACCAACACTGCATGATACATTTACAAGAGCAATAAAGGCGTTAGTCCCAGGTATTGCAGCAATGTAATAGTGGACACAATGATCTCCAGAAACCACATTAGAAAGGACACCTGGCAGTGACATATTAAATTCATAGAATCTTTGAATAGTTACATCATAAAAGTTATTGCATAGCCTCTTTGTTACAAATCCCTTATGGTTCAGCATGTCATTAGCAATCATAGATTCTTTATGAGTGATATGTTGTTGTTCTATAGGACCTGAACTATTGGGATCCATCAGCCCAGGGTGGGAAACTAAATAGCCTCGATTATTCATTATAAAACACTTAAAATAAGACATTGCGCAAATTGGAAGACTGTCAATAAGGACTTTGTAGAGGAATCCCATTGTAACATCCATTGAGACTACCATAGTGGGGTAAAAAGGTCCTTTGACAGCATAAGAAATGCTAACCACATATCCAGCTCCCCCAACATCCAGGTTGGGTGGAGTCAAAATGATCTTACCTGGATATTCAAGAGCGTAAGTATACCATGGCCTTCTCACAGGTTCATAGTCATACTCTAAGACAGTCCCTGGGAACATCACAAGAACCCCACTCTCAGTAGCTGCATATCTTCTCACAATATACTTGGAATAGATGCCACGTAAGTGCTGCCTTTTGTAAAAAGATAAAATTGAGTTGAGAAAATTTACGTCCTGCTGGATTTCATTTTTTAAACCAGGGTTAGATAGCAGACCATTAGCAAGATTTTTAATATAAGCCAGATAATTCTGCATGTATTGAACAGCATCCTGGCCATCACCCATGTCATAAAGGTATGTGAATGGGGACTGAAAACTAGATGGACTCAAATATACAGTACCCTGGTCAATTGTAGCTATCTGTTTGAAATGACGACATATTTTACCAGCTTTAGGTGGGAACAAATCCAGTCTGTGAAACAAGATCTCTTTAGAACTCCTGGTAAAAAATATGTTAGTTTTATTGAACAAGTTATGTTCAGTTATTTCATTTACAATACATACAATGTAAAGTTTTTCAACCCATTTCCAAGAATAAACTATGGAAGTTGAAGCATTTTGTTCTTTCATGGTCAATATGCCAGAACTATTTGTTAGCATTGCTTCCTTAAGACTACTTATAAAATCGTATGTTTCTATACTCTCTAGATATGTAAACTTGATTTTCTCAGAGGATGATTCTGGCCTGGGATAAAATGTGTGCATAAGTACTTTACCAGCAAAATCCATCACGAAGGCTCGTTTTCTATGGTTTATTCCTTTAAAATAAACAATATCTTCAGCTAGATCAGACCAATAAAGGTCTAACCCAAGCACACCACTTGTCATTGGAAGCACTAATGATACCATGAAATCTCTTTCTGTTGCCTCCCAAATAGGGTCTTCAATTTTTATTTGTTTGTTCTGAAAATTTCCAGGAAGTAAAGAAATAAAGGCAGAAGCCACTTGACCCACAACACCACTGTCATTTATATGAAGTCTCATGACCGAGTGGTTGCTTGAGTGATTGTGCCACTTATCAATATGCAATATTCCAAGAGAGCTATTCCTGTCCACCTGGTTCTCATAAATGAGACCTATTGCGAACTTCATGTTTGCATCACTTTCAGAGTAGGGAAACATTTTGAGCCAAGTCTCATTTTTTAATACTTTTGTATCAGTCAAAAAAACAAAAAGTTTGTGTTTTGGCAATTTCTTCTCAGTCAACAACTTCTTCAACTCTTGATGTATGGTAAATGGTGATACGTTACCAGGTGCCACGTCTAAAGTTGATAAATACTCCCTGAGCAATAGCTTGTTGGTGTCAGTTGCATTCCCCAGGTTTGATGTTCCATCAATATTGCAGGTGTCCTCAAATTTTACAAAGTCCGTGGTATTTGTAATCTTGAAGGCAATAATGTCTCTACTTTGCAGCGCATATGCAGTCTCCTTGATCACATTTATAGCATGTTGCAATGAATCTACATTTATGTTGTTGTCAATAATGAACACCACAAGTTTTGGGTCTGGGTGCACTATCTTATGGTACAAATACCTCAAATTCGAGTGAGGCATTATCGCACAATCTCTATCAGTGGCGTAATCCATGTGAGAGAGGAAGTATTGTCTCTTAACTTTTAGGTCTTTGAATCTACCCATCATCTTTGACTTGACGTCAATATTTGGAACACTATTGTATACATTAGGACTCTTGATAAATACAGACTTACGGATAGAGTTGAAGGGGCAAGGATGCGTAAAGGACGGAGTATTGTTGGTCTTGATTCCATTTTTCATGTCTCGTAGTATGTTCACTGCTGACGATAGTTTGTAGCTCAGTTTGTCAGCAATATTGGACAGAGTATCATTATCGCTGGAGTGGACGCGGCTGTCTTTGTGTACAGTTCGTATTTCAAAATGAGTAGTGTAGTCGCTGCCCAACTCATTGATCACTATTTCACTGAACTTATTCGCCAATGATTCGGACAATTGCCGTACGCACACCTTATAGTCGCCTCGGTTGTTTATTCTTGTACAATTGTCGCCTTGGGCAAAGATCTCAGAGACACCGATAAATATCGAAATCGTGACTATCAATGATAAAAGCTTCATCGTGTCGGCATTCTATTTGATCAAATTACCCTTGATCACGCCTTTTGAGGGAAATTTCTTTTCACTGAATAATTGTAGATATCCATATTTCATTAATAAAGTTGATCCAATGTACTACAAATCACTGATGATACGATAAATAAAAATATTAAAAACACAAACACAAGCCAAACGTGTGGGACTGAATCAATCAATGTCAAAAAATTCTTACTCTATCTTGTCTGTGGTCTGGTCCAGTCTGGTCAGTGGTCAAATGCAACCACAGACAAATCGAATTTTTGGTTTAAGGTAAACGCACACTAATCAAAAAGGTTAAACTATTTCTGGTCCATAAATAGAGTTTAACCACGCCAGTGTTTTTCTTTTCGCTAATCATACAAAGAGAATATTTAAAATAATAGAGGTATACGTAACTAAAATATCACCCACAAAATCCCTTATGTATACTTGTTGATTTAATTAGTCAGTTAGAGTAGTTGATAAAAATAAAAGGTTTGATCCTATTGCAGGAACAATATCAAATTCTCAATCTACACTAATATTATAAAGAGGAAAACTTTGTTTGTTTGTTTGTTTGTTTGTTTGTTTGTTTAGTTGTAATGGATAGGCTCAAAAACTACTGGACCGATTTTAAAAATTCTTTCACCATTCGAAAGCTACATTACTCACGAGTAACATAGGCTAAATTTTATTTTGGAAAAATTAGGGACCCGTAAAATATTTGGGATTTTCATAAGNAAGAAGTACCGAGTTTGAAGCGGTCATGAGCAGACATTGCAGTTGAATATTCAAGTTCTGAATTTGATTATTGATGAATAATAAAAGAAATCCTACTAACTCGATTGATGGTTTCATTTAATTTATTTAAACCAGGTTACCTATAATAATATTTTTTCGTTAATTTATGAAAATATCAAATTAGCCCGTAATTCTGAATCCTGATACATAAAGTTAGCCTATTAATTTAACACAGGTACGACTGTACTCAGTGTTGCACTATCAAATGCAATTGACGCGCCTCCGTGCCAGGGTTTTTATGTTCCTGGTCAGGCTATAACTGAAATATCACCCACAAAATCCCTTATGTATACTTGTTGATTTAATTAGTCAGTTAGAGTAGTTGATAAAAATAAAAGGTTTGATCCTATTGCAGGAACAATATCAAATTCTCAATCAATAAATAAACATAATATCATTTTAAAAGATTGTATAGAACCATACGGAATCCTCAGTGCGCAAGTTCAGTCTCGCAAGGTTTTTTAACCGACTTCAAAAAGGAAGAGGTTCTCTTTTTAGAACTGATAATGGACGGAATTGAAACGGGAAGTTAAGTTTAAATAAATAATTTAATTATCTTTGGACACAGCGCCAATTAGCCCCCAAAATAAGTAACTAATAATGCTTGCAGTGCTACTGGCCGGGAATTGAACCCGGGAACTCTTGCGTGGTATGCAGGCATGTTGACCAAGTTTACTTCGCTTTGTGAAGCGATCGCGAAATAGAATAGCTAGCTATCTCTATGTGCCGCCGACCTAATTAAGCATAATTTTAGCAGTCTAGGCTTTGTTGACCATAATTAATACCTATTCGACGAGAGAATCGAACTCTTACAATGCTTTAAACCTGAGTCTAAGCCCGATTGGGAATCGAACCCGGACCACTTGAAACTTAAATTTTTTTTTTATACAAGACAAAACAGGTATTTGACCGCATTCGCAATATTTCGACTATTTATTTATTAATTTGAACTTTTCACGTTATCAGGGGCGGACTTAATGCCGAGTGGCATTCTCTACCAGTCAAGCACAGGTCAAGTAGATAAAATAGGTGGTGGTGCAAAAAAGGTAGGTAAAAAAAGAATAATAAAAATTTAATGAAAATAACAGAAAAACTTTTTTGTAAGGTGTGTAACTCAGCATGTCGGTCGTTCGCTGCACATAATAATGCGGGCAATTTGCCACAACATAAAAAATAACTAAAAGCCAGTAAATGATAATAACTAGTTGTAAAGTAATACTTATGTTGCAGTTACCATGCACTTACGCTTTGGCATGCGCGTTTAATGCGAGCTACCCGTAAAGGGTGTCGGTGGAACGGCCACAGGCGTATAGCACGTGGTGAGTCGTCGGCCGCTGTTATACCTATACTTTTCCATCGATTGGTCAGGGGCGGCGTGGCTTACCGTCCGATCATTAACCCAGTTGTGTGGCGCCCGCCGCGCGGCAGGGCACGCGAGCCGGCGTCGCGCCTCATTCCCACGCCATGCAAGTGCCCGAACCGCCGCCGCCGCCCCTCGCTCCTCTCTGGGACCGCGTCCTCCGAGCCCGGGCTCTGCCACCGGACCTGGACGTCGAACTCCTCTACGTCGCCATCCGGGACAGACTCACGCATCCCGAGTGGGAGGTTCGCCTCAACGCTCTCCGGGTTCTCGCCGATCTCCTCCCCCTATCAGGGAATGCACTGGCCTTCCCATTCGATCAAGTCGTTGACAACTTGGGTCATAATTCCCCGAACGTTCGTAAAGCGGCACTCGACGCACTCAAAGTTTTTTGCACCCACTGCGAGGACTCCGAGTGTGCAGCTCGCGCCATTCTGGACAAGTGCTCATATCACAACATAAGGCCTCACTCAGCCAACATAGATACAAAAGTGAACGTTATAACTGGACTCATTCTATCAATACCTTCAGTCATGACTATTTTGAAGAGAAGAAACCCGGCGTTAGATACTTTCCCAATTTTCCAAGTTTTAGGAGATAAACTTTTCGATCCGGTGCATAGAGATGTTGCACAACGCTCCTTGCTAAAGCTTCGTAAAATTTGTGGTCATCGAGATTACATGGTTTCACTGTCCAGATTGGATCTAAAAGTACAAGATAAATTCAGACAGTTGTGTGAACTGTACGATGAAGATTCAATGGACGTTTACTATGCGCCGAGAAAATCAGTTTACAGAGACAACAACCAAACATTAGTCAAGATAAACCACGTATTCAGTAGCCCAATCACAACTCCAATAAGAGTATCCACGGATTCGTCGTCAGAAGATTCCTACGCCCATATTCCATTCCCCAATAATAATTATGCTAAAGTGATAATTGAAACCGAAATCAAATTCGATTCAGACACGGCGATTACCATGACGGTTTTAGAAGAAAACGATACCGAATCTGACCGGAATTCGGTAACTAATACGGGAAGTGAAGAGGATTGTGATAGCTCGGATAGAAATATGTTGAAGTTTAGTGATGCAGATTCTGAGGACACGGACGTTGTTGTAAAAAAAGTGCGTTTTGGCGGTGAAAGTGTGAAAATTCGGACGCCCGATAGTGAAAATTTAATTTCTAGTGAAGACGATAATAACCACAATAAATTAATACCTAAGAGAGACAATATTAATGGGCTCTCTCATGCAAATGGCACACCCATGATTATGAGTAAAATTAATGAGATAAAACGTGAAGCATTAGATAGAGATAATAATATTAAATATCCTAAGAAAAGTGGTATTCCATTACCAGTCATTCATAATAAGTCACAGAACCAGAACTTGTCCAAGTACAATAAAGTGAAATTAAAATCGAAATCATTGAGTGAACTTTATGATTATTTTCGTACGAAAAATGATGGTGCTGAGCGCAAGAAGGATAGATCGGGGTTTGCGTTAACGCTGTCTGAGGTCCGTTCTCCGGATAAGGTCCCGAGTCCAGTGGAGCCTCACAGGGAGGTGGAAGTCATGCACAATCTCCAGAGGAGTCCGGTGGTCTCCCCACGGCGTCATCAGACGCGGGTACATTTGGAACGTGATGGGTACGTAAACAAATCTAAGTGTAAAGCGATGTCACATCAAAGCTTAACTGTGGTACCTTATAATAGTTTAAATTGGCGCAATTTTGCATTCCAATACCATTTATATGACCATGTTAACAATGGGCTAGTGTCGGCTCATATACCCATTTACCTAACACCCTGTAGAGATTGATAATGCTGGCGACTGTATACTAAATTACTGTGTATAGGTAAAGATTTTTTATGAAATCCTTTTACCCTGTGATCTCTGTGATACTTCCAAATCCAATGCTTATGGAAAATATTATTTACGTGAAACTTTACACAGCACAAAAAAGGCGACTTGTATTCTCTCCCAGTCAACCTATGCGCAAAGCAGATATAAGAAACAAAGACTACACGGCTTCCTAAATGGAAATACGAAATACCTACGAATACCTTATAGGTACGATAAGCATAAAAGTCATAGAGTTATTATCTTATGGTTAATAACTCTATGATAAAAGTATTCAAACTTACGATTACAGGCAACTTAGATTGTGTCGTGGTGACTCTACTTTTTATTTGTGTGCTCCACACATAACGAAATAATACAAGAGTTTCTTGATATAATATATACAAATATATACAGATATTATTTGTGTATTTTTACAAAATATAGAATTACAGGTCAAAGCTTTGCAGTATTTACTATAAAATCTCGCAATAATAGCGAGTAAATGCCACTAAACAACCTAGAATCCAAACACGCATTCCGACGTAACGATTTTTCTGAAGCAATTGACCGCGATAGAAGTAGAGCTTTTATTGAAAATAATCATTTCATCAACATCTGTACTTACTTGCATGGTTTATATTTATTTTATTACAGTCAGGTACTAGTTAGGTCCTTAATTTCTTGATAAATAAGTACTAACTCAACAGTCAGATTTTCCGTCCTGAAAACAATTTCTAATTATTATTTTGTTATTGTATCATTAAATTTGGAAACTATAATTCTTTCAAGTAGGTATTTTCATCGGAAACATTACGTACATACACTATTACTTATTATCACTGCTAGAGTTAGCTGTTAAAACAATTGCATAGTTATATCTTTCGGAAACAACTGTAGAAAATCTTTAAAAACAACAATAAAAATTGAACAAAGTTTATTATATTATGTAACTCTTTGATTATACACTAGTCAGCCAATAAGTGTAGCGCCTTTTCCACATTTCCGCGAGCATAAAAAAATATGTTAACCAATCCAATCGAGGTTTTACTTGCGCATATTTCATGCACCTTTTAAACTTGAGACTGAAGCTTTTGAACTGTAAATTACGGTCGTTTTTAGATTCGTGCTGAATCTATTGGCGACGTCTTCCAACGATTCGGAGTTGCTGTCTCCGCGAGCGCCGTCTCCGCTGCGCGCGCGTTACGATTGGGAAGAGCTTGGTGTGGTGCCGCGACACGTGGCCGACCAGCTGCATAATACGGTAACTAAATGTCTAGCCCTCTTTTGGTACATTTTTGGATCTGTTGGCGGACTCTTCTAATGACTCGGAGCTGTCTCCTCGGGCGCCGTCTCCGCTGCGCGCGCGCTACGGTTGGGAGGAACTTGGTGTGGTCCCACGACACGTGGCCGACCAGCTGCATAATACGGTAACTAAATGTCTAGCCCTCTTTTAGAACCTGCTTGGGTCTGTTGGCGACGTCTTCCAATGATTCGGAGCTGTCTCCTCGGGCGCCGTCTCCGCTGCGCGCGCGCTACGGTTGGGAGGAACTTGGTGTGGTGCCGCGACACGTGGCCGACCAGCTGCATAATACGGTAACTAAATATTTAGCCTTCTTTTAGAACGGAGACGACTCGGAGCTGTCACCGCTGGCTTGGTGTGGTGCCGCAACACGTGGTAAATAAATATTTCCTTCGCTTCTAGTTTTCCTGGGTCTATAGGTCTTCCAACAACTCGGAGCTGCAGTCTTCCCGAGCGCAGTCTTCCCTGTCCTGATCTATTGGCTCTTGGCTCTTCCAACGAGTCAGAATTGTCTCGACTGGCTCTCTAGACCAGCTAAACGTTAACTATGTCTCTGGGGTAGTACTGAATAGGGGTTGTTATCCACGTGACATGGAGTGTACCTAATAGCCAGGGAGTTTTAATATCTTTACTATTTTTATACAATTTTAAAACAGCTTGATATGCTCTTCATTGGAAAGACCGAAAAAGCGATCTTATGACTTGAGGCCCGATATTGTCGGACGAGTGCGGAAATCCTATAACCATATGTCGTTTAAGCAATAAATTGCTTTTATTCCAACAGGATAACTGGATATCTGCAGTGAAAGCAGCCGACCAACTACATAGCGCGCTGCTTGAGCCAGTCAATGTGGCTAAGGTGGAGCCAGCCGCAACCTCTCTGGTACAGCACATGTGGGCACTTAGCGAAGCGGTGAGTAGGTAGACCTAGACCTAATCTAATAACCTGGAGAATCAACAGTTGACGATCGATGTATCCAAGTAGAGACAGACGTAGTTTCCCAAAGTAAGGTGGCGTGACATTTGAGCATGTCTGGTTCAAAAATCAACAATATATGCCTGAAATAGCACCTTACCATAATAACGTAATGGTTATCTGTTTTTACGTAAAAAATACCTACCTATATTCCAACGCCTACGGTAAAAGTGGTAAAAGTCTAGAAAGGCTAGGTTGGTGGTATCACTTGCTTGCTATGTGTATTGATAGCACTAAACACACAACTAACATGTTAACGATAGGCAACTGAACGAAGATAAGCATTTACATAGTTTTGTGTTGAAATAAGTAAAAAGCATTTGTTTTCTATGATGGTCCCGTAGAGAAAGTCTGTTATTATTATAGGATGCAGCTGCTTCTGAACATGTAGCTGACTGAATAATCATTAGAATTCAACTTGTCACCATTAGGTAATCGAAATAAGTGCCCATTTAACTGTTTATGAGCTTAATCGTCTCACCAATATTGGACCGATTTAGGTTTTAGATAAACAAATTCGTGGCGACAGGTCACGCGCAGTCCTTGATGAGTCAATCTTAACATTCTCGACTCCCCTTGTAGCAGGTGTAAAACGTGAAAATAAAGTCATTTTCAGTTATTATAATTATTATTAGGTACTTATGGGATTTGTTTGTTCTGGTAAAGGTATCAGCAGCGCGAGCGCCAGCAGAGGGCGCCGTTTGCGCGCTAATTCGGGGAGCCAGTAACGACTGCGCGAGGCAGTTGCTACCTGCCCTTGTGTCCAGGATGGCACAGGAACCGCTACCAACCGCCTTGCCCCACGCTCTACTGCAGCGGTTGGCACTACATCACCTCGTGGACTTGATCTTTGACCCAGCTATGCTCAAGGCAAGTACTTAAGTAAATTTTTAACCTTCAGTTCAATTTCAAGCTTCAATTGAATACTTTAAGCTCACTTATCAAAAAAGCCATAAATAAATTAACGACTCTACCTTTTCTACTTCAGCGATTAAGCAGGCACATGATCACAATTTAAGAACTGTTGCGTAATGCTTCACCTTCCTCTCAATTTTAGTGACGACGCCTCAGCAGTATATTAGCGTAATAAGTATTGGATGGTTTTGTTTCTTGTTAAAGTTATTTATTACTTACCCCATTTTTACCTTGTTTAAATATCACACAACACTTGAAAGCTTTGATGTCTAGACTGATATAGTTACTCATAGTTAAAAATAAAAGTCGCTGTTGCGCATAACTAAACAGTAGCTTGGTTATATAAGTTATGGCTATGACAGCTAGCTGTCCACAATCCTGATTATCATCGTGGGGTTCCAAGGAATTGCCCCAAGGCCGTACAGAATTAACGTTCGTTTTTTTCGCAACTCACCCGATATTGTTAGAAATGCGAAATACTGCGATACAATGGACCATTAACTGATTACCTATGCATGAAGCAGCATTTTTACCTGGATTTGAACTTGCTACTGATTTATTTTTATGTGTAGGTGTATGGGCCGCCGCGTCTCTAGCTATCAAAGTTTAGCGCGTTTTAATGACTTTGCAAATCGAAAACAAATTCTTTATTTTCTAATTTAGATAAGGTATTGGAAGTCCAAAGCATGAATTCTCAAAATTAGTAACCAATCTAACCTATTTTAAGATTTAATTTAAGTAGGAGAGTAAGGTATCATTTGCAATAAGGTAAATTAAAAACATTGCTTACAATAACATGAGATGTGAGCCCCTGGCGACTGCTGCGGCGTCTGACTTAGCCCGAACAATTGAGATTTGCCTTACAAAGTAGGGATAAGTCTGGAGCTGTGGATATTATGTTGTATTGTATTGGGAAGAGCTTGGTGTGTTGCCGTGATACGTGGCTGACCAGCTCTGCACAATATGGTAACTAAATGTGTAGTCAGTCAACAAGTTGGAACGGTCTACTACACTCTTGCGATTTTCCTTACAAAGTCTGGAGCTTTGGATATGAATGATGATCGAAGATTTCCATGCAGGTGTCGGGAGACTCGGAACGAGTGCAGAGCGCACAGCTTCGCGCTACGCTGTGCCTAGCGCGGGCGGCGGGCCCGGCGGCCGTGCTGTCTGCAGTGCGCAGACGGCTGGCCGGCACTGCGAGGGCCGATGTGTTCTGCAGCAAGGTTAGTCTTAGTACTAACCTTTGTTTGAGCAACCCGCCAAGTTTCGCGCTTTACCGGACCTGCAAAATATTTAGGCCCGGTTTCCACCAAATTGAAAAGGAGAGGAAATGTAGAAATAACGCAATCTGACTTGTTATTCAAAACATAATAATATGTATCTTCTCTCCGCCCCTGATGGAAACCAGGCCTACTGCTAGCAGCGCACCTCTCTGTTTAACACAGGTAGTAGCTGTAGTTGACTGGACCTGATTATTTCTCAAACGCTGTTTTGTTTCAGCTACGAGAAAGGCTGAGCAGGCCAGTGGAGAACATCAAACCAACTCACATAGCCAGGTAACTGTCTTGTCTCAGATCAGTCTTGTCTTCTTGATAATTATGTGATGAGGCATGTAATGCAGGCCAACACGTATACTCGAATAGATATAATGAGCTAGATCATATTATAGGACCTCGTCAGACAAAAAACGTTGCATGAGCGTGAAATTCAGTCGATGACGTGTTGATCGCTTGGCGAGCGAATTGCTGACACATGTACAGAAACGTAACATAGATGTCGCGGTGTTCGCGTGGCAGTTTCTGGACACGCGATCACGCCACGAAGTAGCACGTGAATTTCACGCCTTGTCTATCTGATGAGGCGTTAAAAAATAAAACTAATCCGGCTCGAAGGACCAAGTTCTCTACAAGAGTTTATAAACTGGATTCTGCACCCTCTGAAGTCTTCACTAGGTAATAAGTAATACAATGATGAAGTAATACATACAGGATATCAGTTGGGGCTTTTGTTTGCAGGAGCTCTCAACTCCCGGTACCAGTTAGAAGGCGAGCGCGATCTACGCCACCACCGGCTGCGCCCGCGCCGCCGCGGCGGCTTAGGCCGCTGCCAGATTCCGCCCCATTACCTGGTATGCAAAATCTTACATCAAACTTAAACTCAAAAGATGCTCTTTATGACAATTGACAAGTCCCAAAATAAGATTATCTCAAATGCACAAGGCGATAAAAATATTCAAGCTCTTAGGGGCCATCCATAAAGTACGTCACACGAATTTCATGATTTTTCGACCCCCCTCCGTCCTTGTCACAGCCCTCCCTAGTGTGACGTCACATGTTTTGCAATGTCACATCGAAAAATTATTAAATTAACAGCAGTTTCGAAATTAGTTTTATTTCCATTTAAATTAAGTACTTTTTTTATGAAATCAACATTATATCAAATATTTGAAACAATTGAAATGTGATGTCACGAAACTTAGGACCCCTCCCACCCCTTTGTCACACCATGTCACACTTTGTCAACTCCCTCCCCCCCTCTTTACGTGTGACGTACTTTATGGATGACCCCTTACTTGACTAAATATTTGGGATAAAACTAGGTATAGGGTTTCCCAGGGATTGCTATCCCTGCAGGATTTCCCAGGGATAGAAAACAGCCTACTTTATCATTCTTAAATATTCCATCAGGTGTCCTACCATCGGGAAGGGAGTACATCATGAAGGCGCTGTCTCCGATACCTCTTAGTGACAGGTAAGAAGAACATAATGTTATTCAACTTGCACCTACCGTACCTAAATGTAAAGTAAGTCGTAAGTTATAACCAAGACGCAGGTAGATACTATGTTCAGAATTTGCACTTTAGTGAAGATCTATGTTATATAAGACATATTCTTGAAGTAAGTATTATTATACCGGACCTGCATATTTTATTCCTGCGGAGGTATTGTTTTTAATCGAGCTTTGACGACAATGTAGTCACTGTTGTCAAAGTAACAAAAAGCTAACTTAGGAAACTAATAACCGTAAATAAGTGGGTACTTACTTACCTAAATACAAAGGTTAAAGGCTTCCTTCATGACTACAATGAGGTTTAGGTCCTACTGTAGCGTGTTAAGAACATACGGTTCGTTTCACATTCGGCCTTTTAGTATGCCTAATTAGGTTTATATCAGCTCCACATACGCAACATTTTCAAAGAAAAGCTATTCAATTAATTATCCATATTCAAATGCCAAGGAGGTGGAGGGCTGCGGCCTTGGGTGGACAGTCTGGGTGTTGACCTTGCTCCGTGCGAACCGACACAACTGACTTAGTCACAGGAAATCTAAAATGCTGTCCACTTTGATATCTTTTCAAGCATAAAAATTGAAATAAGGTTGGCCGGCAAGGCCGCAATTAAACTCAAGGAAAGCAAAGAAAACGAACCACAAACAAAACATATTTCTGAAGAGATTCTTTCTTCTGTGAAGAACGCGCTATGGCAAGCACGCGTAGACTGCCAGAGGGCTGCATGCATGAAGGGATTTAAGGGATACAAAATCGCAATGCAAGCGAAACTGTGTCAAGCTGAAAACATTTTCGTTTCTGTCATTCTTAATCCACCCACTACTTAATAATGATCTCTGCCAATTTTTAAGATCTTCAAGAAAAGACGTAAAGACGTTAGCACGGGCTGAGTTCTCCAGAAAAGAAAATGGTGAAAAATTAATAAGTATTTTTTTCTGTTCAAGCAAAACAGTAACCATTTTGCAATTTTTCACCTGAATTAAAAATAAAGGTCACGACGACTATAAAACGTTTTTCCAAATGTAGGTAGCTGATTAACTGAAGTGGGTTTATTTCCATTAAGAATAATCATCTAGCTAGATGTTATCAGCATACAAGTATAAAATTACCGCAAGCAATTACGAGGGTACGTGGCTAATTCACGTTCCGTTCCCATTTCATTCGTTTTGTTTGTATTTCAATTGACCAGCAGACGGCGATTGGTATCTTTATGTAAACTAAGCTAGATTATGCTATAGGTAGGACCATGTGGGAGTCAAGTCAACCACCTAACAGCACCCTAACAGTCTGAGTAACACCTAATCGATTTAGCATTAATGATGCTACAGAGAAAAGCTACCCTAAAAGTCACGTCAGTCACCACGCGACCTCCAAGAAATGTCAAGATTGAATCACGTTATTATGGGAAGAGATCCAGCTGAAATGTTGCGAGTAAATTACAAGCACAGTCAGCAGCAAACCCTTGACCCTTAACGCAGAGAAAAAGCAATTCAGTCGTGCGTCAGAAATGGTCAGAAACGTGGGCACCATCTTTGTTGTCGTTACGCTCAAAGTTTTAAAACTAAGTTGCTTGGCAACTTACAATGAAGTAGTTTGCGGTCAAATACCTATTACTGTATAGAAAAAAGTTAGCAAGATTATGAACGCAATGTTACTTTGTTATATTCTAATTAATTGAAAATATTTTTTAAATTCGCATTTATTGTTCTGTGTTCAGACATTTGAAATATTACAAGTTTCAATGTAATAAAACATTAGTCATGCAAGAGCATGAGTGCATGAGTCATTTGATGTGGATATCAATAAATAGAATTCAGTTTAAAGTTAGTTATTTTGATTACTTAGTCACTCGTGAAGCTGTAAATTCGGACTGCTATACTATTTTAATCGACAGATTATAGAGTCACATACGTGGTTATCGAGCTTTGACACGCATTAAATGTTGAATAAGAGTAATTGCGTGCCACCGGTATGGCGGTAACCTACATTTGTGGCTGAAATTATCGGCCCACTTCACTTCACAAGGCGCCGCGACCTATTTCCATTTATCGTCAGATCGCTCCACTTAGCTTAGGTCTAAGAGTCGAGTGAAACGGCAACATAGTGGACCTACGGCAATTAGTTATTAACTACAGTCGAACGTGTAACTGAACCTTATTGGTTAGGTATAACCAGAAACTGTTTCTGAATAATGTAAGACTAAAGTGAGGGGTGAGAGGGCAAAACTCTATATTAGATTAAAGTACAATGTCTAGGTAGAGGACACACATGGACCGGCACCTATCAGGTAGGTGGATAAACTCCCTTCAAGAAGGTCCATCGAAAATGTTATTTGTCATCAACGGTGCGATGTTACAGCAGGTTAGGACCGTTGTGTCGACCTAATCGAAAATTCTAGTCTAGATATCGAAATCGATCGTCAAAAGCATTTAAACTGCCGCATCATCAGTATGGAAATTGTTTCAAACGAAAAGTTTTAGTTTAGATATTCAAATTACTCGTAGTTGTTAATCATAGTACTACTAAGCAGTTATGTCGTAAATGTGTACATTGTTGCTTAATTTGCATAATATGCAGGTAGAGTAGGCAGTAGGAAGTTCATCAACATGCTTGACAATTGATCGCGTAGGGCGGCGAGTGCGAGGCGAGGTGTAAGTCCGTCAGTCGCGGAGGCACCGCGACGCGCGGCGGCCATGCGACGGCTGTGCTGCTGTCCCCCGCCGCTCGTCGCCCCCGCGCCCGCGCCCGCGCCCCCGCTCGCGCCCGACATCGTCGCCGACCTGCCCCCGCACACGCGGTAACCACCCGGCACCCTCCCGCCCTTGCATAAACAAACAACCACACCCCCGTTACAACCGTGCCTTTTGTTTACAGAGACTCCAGTGCGCTCACCAGCTTCGAAGGGACGGCGGTCGAAAAGACATCCCTGTCTCAACTGGATAAGGATTCCGCCGAGGGCGTCATCATCGGTGACACCACCCAGATCTGTACGTCCGAAGGTGACGTGAATGACGCGCCGCCCACACCCAAGTCGCCATCAATCAAAGTCGAAGATTACTCTGAAAAGTCGATCGGTTCTCTTTATAGCAATAAAGAGACGCGGTTCGAACACACTCCGGCGATAAGCAACGCTTCGAGCGTAGAGGAACTAGGATCTCACCATTCTATAGCTTCAGAGGTCCACGAACGGATAGAATCACGATCATCTAGTCGAAAATCTGTAACCGCAAAAAGCAGAAGTGCATCGCAAAGCCCCGCAAAGAGCAGAAATCCATCGCCAGATCCGATCAGCAACGCGTACGAAGCGGCGCCCTCGCCGCTCGAGCGTGACGTGCGGAACGCGCTCGCGGAATGCGTGGTCCCGGCGCGGCACGAGGACTGGGAAGTCATAGTGAACGGGCTGCTCCGGACCGAGCGGCTGGCGGCGGACCCGACGGCCCGGGCCCCGGCCACGAGCTGGCGGGCGGTCGCGCGCTCGGCGGCGGCGCACGTGCGCTCGCTGCGGTCTAGAGTGGCGCGCACCGCGTGCTCGACCCTGGGGGCGCTGTTCGAGCACCGCGGCCGGACGCTGGACACGGAGCTGGAGGAGGCGGCGACGGCGCTGCTGGAGCGGTGCGCCGACGTGAACCGGTTCCTGCGCGCGGACGCGGCGGCGGCGCTGGTGCGGCTGGCGCACGGCAGCAACGGCGCGCGCGCGGCGGTGGCGCTGGCGCGGCGCGNTTTATTTAGCTTGCAATTTATGATGTACCTATGTAGGTAATTACATAAATGTTTGTTCGGGTGGAATCTTGCAAGCTGAATTAGTTATGTTATAGTCAAACCTCGAAGTTCCGGCACTCCTAGGTTTGACTAGTCAATCCTCAGGTCTGACTAGAAGTCTTAGTCAAAGCCCAAACATTTCGGTCTTTGACTAAATAATGTTAGTCAAACCTAGGAGTAACTAATTTGGTCAGGCAAACGTCGAAACTCAATTCAATGAAATCGGGGTTTGACTAGTCAAACCTCAATAAGACTTTAAACTAAACTATACTTCATTCTGATCTCGAATTTATTGCAAAGGCGTTACGGTCGGTTCTTTAGGTGAAGGTATGAGTAACTAAAATTATTTACTGCGTTGTTTGTCAGTGTTTCTAGACCGATCTTGAAATTACTAATTTTTAGGGTTCTATTACCTTAAACTTTAAGGTAACAGAAGGTCATTTAAGGCTTAAAGGATAAAGAGTTAAAACGGGACCCTATTACTATGACTTCGCTAAATGTTGTCTATCACCAGGCTCGTAAATCATGAATCATTTTCAAAAGATTTAGTTTTTTATTAACTTTAAAAATAAATAAATCAATAAAATACTTCAATATTTGAGCCCCTCCTATACAGCAAACGTGACTTTTTGCAGTTTTCTGCTCAATATTAAAACTCCCATACAAGAACAGAGTCGCACGGAACCCTTCGTGAGCGAATCCGACTCGCACTTGGCCGGTTTTCTATTTGCTGTCTACTTCTGACCGAGTCTGCCAGTCGTTTCTAGGATTGACTAGGCAAAGCCCGATACAGATTATTTTAGTTTCGACGTTTGACTGAACAGATTAGGCACTTCTAGGTTTGACTTAGTCAAAGGCCGAAATTAGAAATCACTTCGGGGTTTGCCTGAAGGCCTTGGTCAAACCTAGGATAAACCAGTCATTCCACGAAGAGACTGCATATCGACCTTTGACTATGACAGTTAGACCAACTTCCTGACGACAACTAGGCTAGATGACAAAATTTCAATTATTTGTCCGTCAGACAGATAATTAGAAAATATTAGACTCATATTTTTTATTTTCTTTCATAATTAAATAATAACAGTGCTACATCGAGTTGAAATGGCGCGATACGCCACGCTTGAGTAGAAGTTTTACTCAAATGTGACGTCACGCGAGATTTCAACTCAATATAATACTGTAATTATTCGATTATGGAAAAAATTAAAAAATGTGAGTCTAATGTTTTCTAATTATCTGTCTGACGGACTAAATAGAATTTCGATTTCATTACCCAGTCATCATCCCTATTGGAACGCATTAGTACCTAGTATTGTCTATGGCCTAAAAAAGCAAATGTTTCTGCTTTTGTCTATTGTCATTCTCTCTGTGTCACTTATGAAGAATAAACTGAAAATGTAGGTATTTGTCTTTTTATTAGAAATCCTTTATCAATTGATTGAGTTAAAATTTCGGATATAGATGTAATTCGGGTGACAATGCAATATTGTGATGACATGGAGCTGATCTGATGGTAGAGCTGGAATGCCAGTGGCCCCATAGCAACTCCGGGATTAAACGATTCCATCGAGTTTAGGGTCGTTTGATTTGTATTTATTTATTATTATACCTAAATAATTTCATTACAATTTTCTAAAAATGCACAAAAACTTAACAAATAGATTAATTTCACTAAAAATTAAAACCAACTCCAAAACGACTCACCAAAAGATAGGCTATCACCGACTCCGAAAATGGCTAATTTTGTAATCAGTATCCAAATTTTTTAATAAGCTCTATAGAACAATTCAATACCACTTTATCTTAATTTTTTTTAATGTGACTGGAGGCAAACCAACAAACGGATCACCTGTAGTTGGTAAATGATTACCGTCGCGTCGCCCATAGACACCCGCAGATCCAGGGGCGTTACAGGTGTTATTTTTAACTAGCGGCCGCCCGCGACTTCGTGCGCGTGGATCTCGTTTTACCCCCCCTTCATCTATCTTACGCGGTTCAGATTTTTTCATACAAATGTTTTTTCCCGCTAACTCCCGTTCCCGTGAGATTTTTGCAATATCCTGTTGTAACTAAGCTTTAAGGTTATTAAGGTACCTGCATGCCAAATTTCAAGAGTCTATCTTACGCGGTTTAGATTTTTTCATACAAATGTTTTTTCCCGCTAACTCCCGTTCCCGTGCGGGGCACCGCGCGGGCCCGGTGCGCGCGGCGGCGGCGGCGGCGCTGGCGCGGCTGGTGCGGCAGCACGGCGCGCACGGCACGCTGGACATGCCGCCGGAGCCGCGCACGGTGCTGCTGCGCGCGGCGGGCGAGCTGCTGGGCGACGCCAGCGCCGAGGCGCGCGCGCACGCCCGCCAGCTGTGCCTCGCGCTGTCCGAGGACATTCGGTTCCGCCAGATGCTGAAGGACGCGATGCAGCCGACGCGGTACTGCGCCATTGAAAAGTTCATCAAAAAACTGCGATGACACTGATTTTGTATGAAAACATTTTCAATTGTATGTGCTGCAGTAACTAACTATAAGATAAAAGTGTGAAACGATCTCCGTCCCGTTACTTTGTGATATTAAGTTTCTTTTAGTATGAAATTATTTGTACAAAAAGTGTATTTATCGTAGAAATCAACAAACATTCTCCCGACCAAAAACAGGTGGGTAATGTTTAATCTAAAATATTATGACTGAAACGTGCGAAAGGTATTTTTCTAAGTAAAAAAGTTCGGTAAAATTGTTATCCTCCAGTGGAGCGAAATTGATTGTACTCACATAATAATATTAAATTGTTAAATTGCATGTCTGATTTATAAAGATTTAATAGTTTTACTCGATGTATTAAAATATACCAGTACCTAGTGTTTTGTTAATAAACGTTATACTTAGTATGAAAATGGATGCATTTTATTATTTCCCTCCCTGTATTTAAANACATAAAAACCCTGGCATAGAGGCGCCTCAATTGCATTTGATAGTGCAACACTGAGTACAGTCGTACCTGTGTTAAATTAATAGGCTAACTTTATGTATCAGGATTCAGGATTACGGGCTAATTTGATATTTTCATAAATTAACGAAAAAATATTATTATAGGTAACCTGATTTAAATAAATTAAATGAAACCATCAATCGAGCTAGTAGATTTATTTTATTATTCATCAATAATCAAATTCAGAACTTGAATATTCAACTGCAATGTCTGCTCATGAACGCTTCAAACTCGGTACTTCTTTCCCAATCCCATAAAATTCAACACTTAGAAAGTGACAAAATTTTTAAAATAGGTAGTTGAAACCATAGCTGGGCACCGTTAATCAAATAGTTAACTTCGTTAATCGTTAAACCGTTACTAAAAAAATTAACTTCGTTAAACGTTAAAACGTTACATTTCGGAAGATTTAACGCAAGTTAACGTTAATCGTTAATCCGTTAACACGTGATCAGATCAGATATGGATTAGAGCACGTGATAATAAAACGATACAAAATATTGTATGCAAGGTTCAAATAATTTCAAAAGCTTGTATTACGCATAGAATTTATTGAACCTTGCATAAGTACTTTTTTCGTTTTAGTACAACTGCATTTCAGAATAAAAGCTTGTTTAAAAAAAAGTTCTTTTTTATTATAATTTTATTATACACTTTTTAGTTGTATCTCAATCTCAGAGCCTAGGTACAATTACAATACAATTTAGCACCAAAGTGCTCGAAAAGACAAATCCAAGAAACCCAAACTTGATAAGTTTCCACCGTTTCGTTTAGGAATTCCTATGGCCACCTCCTGACTCCATCATCAGGACTCTGGACGTCATCTAGTACTAAATTGCTCAAAAAGACAAATCCAACGAACCCAAATTCGATGCGATTCCGCCGTTTTTTTTAGGAGTTTTTATGGCCACTTGACTCCATCATCAGACCAGCTCAATGGTACCATAACATTGCATTGTCATCGTACTTACATAAGTATATCAAATTTCAGCTCAATCGGTTGAGGAGAACTGGTCTTATATTCAGTTGTAAATAAAAAAATAAATTGCATTTTAACCTTTAACTGATGACATGGTTTTTGTGTAACGTAACTGGTGACGTACGGTCTGAGAGGCCGCTACCGTATCAACAAGACTGTAGCATAGAAACTAGGTAAGGTAGCATACCACAATCTTTAAAAACAGATTGCTAGCATATAGAAGAATTAAATTTAAATAAAATAATAAACTCTAAATATCATTTTTAATGCAGAACTTGCTGTTAAATTATATTATTATGTAGTAATAAAAATCTTTAAACTAGAGATGAGATCGATAATCGCAAATAAAGAAATTTAAATCAACAAATTATAACAAAATTAGTATTTTTTGTTATAGTTCCAACGATAATCAATTTAAAAAAAACCTATCACACATAGGTAACCTATCATTTTAGAAAACTGGCGGTGGTGAAACTTTTGTATTTTTTATTGGCTGTCAGGGCATTTATTGTTTGGCATAAAAGTGGACCGTCATTTTGCACTTTCTGACTGATTCTCGTCAATTGGTCCTTCATCTTTAAAAACACTTTCTTCGGCTTCCGAATCATGGTCACTTAGCTCCAGAACGATGTTTTCAGGAACATAATTCGGCTTCCGACCCGACTTGGGTTTTCCTTTTCCGGATATTTTTCAACTGGCGAATTTTCAAGTCGTTTTATAAAGTATGGCACTATATTCCCAACTAATGATCCTACGCTTCTTTTTTGGAATCAATTGCATTATTTAAGTATCAATTGCAAGTAAAAACTGTAAAAATATGAAAAAACTGTATGAAAAAAATGTCACGTAACTGGTGACATGCGGTCTGAGAGACCGCTGCTGAACTTTACATCGATGTAACTTGCCGATTTGGAGCTGAATGATGCAAATATCCTTACCTACGGCGTAGACACAACTAAGCTACTGAAGCGGTGAAACATGGGAAGTACGGGGAAGGGGGTGAAACGATGTTTCACTGACGCCGCCCGGCCTGTGAGACCGCTTGTCACCAGTTAAAGGTTAATAATATCGTTGCGTTGCGTTAGTGATCTGGTTACAAAATCTGTTGTTTTGGGGTCTGGAAGTTCTGGAAGCCCGAACGTAAAAAACGTACTTGTCAGAACGCGTTTTTCAGCGTGACTGCTGTATCTTTTTGGTAAATAGTAGGTTAACGAGTCCGTTAACATTTTTTAAAGTTAACTTAAAAGTTAATCCGTTAACAGAAATGTTAACTTCGTTAATTAACGATTAACCGGTTAACGAGTTAATGCCCAGCTATGGTTGAAACAAACCACAGCTAATTTTCATAGTGGACTGTACTATACGATAAACATGTCAGTCAATTTGACAACCTTTGTCGGAAACATTATTATTAGTTTAGTATTTCTCTTCGACAAATACTTTAACACATTGTGAACCACTTTTCTTTCACGATTATAAAAATATTTTAGCAATTTAATTCATAAAACCAATTGCGCACATTTAAAATAAAGTTTGTTTACACTTTGACAGCAATAGACTGACATGCAAGGTGACAATGAATCAATGAAGTTTTCAGTTACTGTTGCCATTAAAAGAAATTAGTACCATTAGTTTTCCGCAACATGGCGAGGGTTTTTATGTTCCTGGTCAGGCTATAGTATGAAAATGGATGCACTTTATTATTTCCCTCCCTGTATTTCCTCATAAAAGCGTAGACTATGAAGTTAGTAAAACCTTATTATCGATTTCTTGCTCTATTTACTGCCAAAATCTAAAACGTCACAAGTCACAACTCACAAGCTCGATTGACATTGTCACATGCAGTCAAAACATCCCAGCCACAACAGGCCATAACAATATCTGAAACCCTCTAGAATCCAATAATGTTCCTCAAATCATAAATTCCAATTACCCATGATGGTCATCGCCTGAATGGCCTGGCGGCCCGAATTATCGCCGGCATCGCTGCTGAAGCTGGTGTCGTTTCTGAACTGGGGTGCTCTGTATCTGTGGTGCTGTGCTAAATGGCCCAAGCAGAGTCCCGAATGGTGTTCCCGATTGGTGACGGTACTACACGGCAGCGTCGCAACTGCCGTGGGCATTTATCAGTGTGGAGTGCGCTCAATCACGCCATGGCGTCTAACCAGTGAGTATGTTCTACTTTTTGTAGCATTAAGTACGATACTTGGTAGCACAGGTTCCGTGCTTAATACAACAGGGCAAAAGCGTCTGTTATAAACTCTACACCTAGCGCGTTATCAGCTACCTGCCTGCCTAATTTGAATAATAGACACAACGAAACTGATAATCACAACACAACCAAAAAAGATGGAATGACTATGACACAATGACATATGGCGGTCTTAACGCTAGGAAGCCATCTCTTCCAGACAGTGTTGGGGTAGACTTAATCTCAGAGTTATACCAGTTTAGGCTCTGGCGAAATACCTAGGAGAGCCATCAAGCTAAGGATCAAACGGCTTTAATAGGATACGCCCAAAGAAATTACGTTTCTAAATAATAGATGATAGAGAAGACAACAGAAATCATACGCAGTTCAATACTCTATACCAACAAATTAAAAGCTTGAACTCCGTGAACTTACGAATCACTTAAAAATTCTCTGTCGGACTCGGAAAACGGTTGAGAAACAGTTCAATAACATGACTAACGAAATTTCTATACTCGTGGTTCAATGTCGTTAACATGACACGTGTTCCAGTGAAAATAACAAGCTGGCACTACGCACTGATGGTTTGGTCGTGGGGCTACTTCGCGTTCGACCTGATCTGGTGCCTGGTGTACTGGACGGAGAACACGCTGATGCTTTGCCACCACACCAGCGCCCTCTACGCCATCACCATCTACATGCAGAAGCAGTACACTGGCTGCACCTTCGCCTGCACCCTCGCTATGATGGAAGTCACGAACCCTTTCCTACAAGCACGATGGTTAGTTAGAGTCCGATTACAAAACTACGCTGAAAACTCGATTCAAATTGAACCATAAGTTAGGGGGCGTCCATAAATTACGTGAGACTTTTAGGGGGGGGGAGGGGGTCAACAAAAACCTCACTAAATCTCACGTGGGGGAGAGGGGGGG